TAGCTCTGGATTTTATTCTCTACCTCCAAGTCCAGCATCATCCTACAAGCAAGATGCAATATATAATATATAAGGGCTCATTCAGTAACTTGGCTTTTTGCTTCCTTGCCATCTTAATCTCCAGGGACATTCTCTTTCACTTGCATGCAGCCATGCACTTTGTGCCCATGATAGACACTGACTTCTCCACTTCTGGAATGATAACTTTAGACATCCCCCTCCCTCTCTTACCACAACTATGTAACCTTCTAGCATTCTTAAGCACAGTACAAATAAACTGTCCTTCAGGATCTCCAAACCACAGGCCAATCTTCCTTCTCTGTCTTTATTAATCCTGTCAAGGTTTCATTTTCCTATCCAAGATAGTTCACCACCCCCAAAATGCTGTTCACCCTATCATCCATTTCCTCTTCCTATTGCCTTTCTGTGTACCACCCGGCAAAATCTAGAAAATCCATTGTCTGCCAAACCATGCAGGTCGTTGCCAACATTGAATAGTAGTCCCTAATCTCACACAGCACACTGTCCAGGTATTACGCTATATTTCTCTGGTTAGCACTCTCTCCAGCCCTCCACCGTTTCAAACATTCTGAAACTGAACAGAATACTTGCCTGAGATATAGATGTTGGGGTGATTGGCGTATAGGCAGTAAGTGAAGCCAGGGGAGTAGATGCAATTACCAGAAAGTATTTGAGGAATGAAAGGAAATGGGCCTGGGAAAGAACCCTGAGTAACTAACACTAGTAATGCAACAGATGTTCAAAAAGGGGGAGGGGGCTGGAAGTGATTTGAAAAAGAAAATTACCAGGAATGGCCAAAAATGGAAGAGAAAACCAAAGAAAATATGGTGCCAGTTACAAGTGAAGAGATTATTCCAAGAAGGAGGGGTTGGTAAAAATGTCAAACATTACTGATTAACCAAATAAATACTAAAGACTTGTCTTCAGGTTTAAAAACAGAGATGTCATTGATGACCGTGGAAAAGTGGGAATCAGGGGGAAGGTGGGTGCGGATGCCAGATTCCATCAGGTTTAAGTGTAAAAAGGAGGTGAGAAATTGGGGAAGAGTGTAATCATTTCTGATAAGAAGTTTGGCTAGGAAGGTAGAGTCAGAAGCACTATTGGGAGGGAAGCATGGGCTTGAGATAGAGGCTTGAGTACTTAAAAACCTACTTTTTCACAGGCGGCTCTTGAGGCAACCCGGAAGCGGAAGTGGAAGAAAGTTCTCAAAAAGCTACTTTTTAAGTATTTAAGAGTGACTGGAAAGTCTACAGAAACTGTCTGAGACAGGGGCACCTGGGTGGCTCCACTGGTTAAGCATCCAACTTTGTCTCAGGTCATGATCTCATGGTTCGTGGGTTCAAGCCCTATGTTGGGCTGTGCTGACAGCTCAGAGTCTGGAGCCTCGGATTCTGTGTGTGTATCTCTCTTTCTCTTTCCCCCACTTGTGTACTCTCTCCCTCTCAAAAACAAGTAAATAAACAAACCTAAAAAAGAAAAAAAACTGTCTGAGATTTCCTCCAAAGACAGAGAAAGAGTCCACATAGCTAAATTAAAAAGGGCAGTGGTAAGAAATGTAATAGTTTTCTGTGAGTTCCAGTCAAGTTCTGCTTGTTTAAAATTTACCCTTTAAATTCTTTGGTCATTTCCCTTGTTGTTAGCATATGCTCAAACTCTTTAATGCGGATGGATATAAGCCCCTTTTGAGAACCTGGTACCTTCCTGGCTCTCCCTCAGGAAGTCTTCCCCAGACTTCCCCACGCTTCCCCAGACTCTGCTCCAGCCACACAGAACACCTTTTTGTTCCCTGAATGTTTGTCCCTACTCTCTCTCACCCCCATGGCTTTGGATACAAAGTTCCACCTTCCAGAAACTGTATCTCCAATCTATTTCCTGGCCAACACATATAGTGCCTCTCATTTCACAATTGCTTCCTCAAAGGAAGCCTTTCCTATTCCCATAAACAAGATCAAGGGTCCTCCTTCCACATTCCCACAGCATCCTGCATTTCCCTATCGAAACTTCTTTCACATAATCCTACAGCTATGTCTGCCTGTCTCTTTCACTATACATTTAAACCCCATGAGAACAGAAATAATATCTGTCTTATTATCATTATATCTCCAGAACCTGGTACATTGTTGGACACATAGTTGCTCAATAAAAACGTTGCAAAATAACAAATTGTCATTTTACGGAAAAGCCCAGTTAAAACATTCATGTATTCACATGAGGATTTTATTCGATGTTAATTGAGATTCTTGAAGAATATTCTATCTATTGCTACTAAGGTTTAAAACATTTTCAGTGATGTCTAATACTTCTTACCTTACATTAATCCTTTTCATAACACATTTCATATTCTAAAGTATTTATAATTTATTTGTTCATGATTCTTACTGTCAGAAATCCCTCTCTAGGCTAGAAGCTCCATGAGGGCAAAGAGCCTTCTCAGTTTCACTCACTGATACATTTCCAAATGACTATGGCCTGGAACATGAATAAATAAAGGAGTGAATGAAGTATATAGGTAGTGCTTCTTTTCAGTAATATGTTTTTACCCCATGTGCATCCGAAAAGCATGGAAAATAACTTAAATATTCAAGCATGGTGAAAACTAACTCAATTGAATATCAAATAAATTGAATCCACCCAAAAGTACCAGAGCTAATTCCTCCAGTAGTTACATTTGAGGAAATTACAATTTTTGGACAGGACATTCAGCATTAAGTTTTTGGGTTCATAAAGTAAAGTGGGACACCAGTGTATTACATTGTTTCTATTTCCTAAACAACAAAAAGGTTAAAACTTTCATCTGCAGAGTCAAAACTGCTCTTGCAACTCTTCTCATGTAGGAATTTATGGAGAGTTTCCTTGTACAAAGTACAGGGAGTCTTACAATGGATAATATCAAAACATTACATTTTTTTTTTTTACCAAAGACATAAATAAAGTGGGCAAGAGGACAGGTCTCACATCAACAGAAGGCATACCATTTTATCACAACTCAGAAAAGGCATTTTTGTAAATGTCTGATAAAACAGAGTATAGACACTCTGCTTTTGATAGTCTAACAATGCAGAGAAAGATGGTCTTTGTTGATTAAAAGAAGAACAGAGGCAAATTAATATTCTCTTGTAGAAGTTTAAGAGACTAATTTAAACACATAGATGGCTTACACTTTTTAAAAATAATTTTCTCATACTGAAAAAGCAATACCTCTTTATTTAAAATTTGGGAATAAAATAATGTACACACACAAATCAGCTGATATCCTGCCACTCCAAGAGAACTTATTTTCGTAACACATTTCTGTATCAACCAAACACACACACACGCACACACACACACACAGACACACACAGAGTCAACTACATGTAAAGTAAAATTGTAGCTCTCTCTCAAGATTATGATTTACCATATATTTACTTCATTACATATTATATATTTTAACTGAAATAAGATTGTAATACACACATTTTACAATCTGCTTTTCTTCCTAATTATAAATATACCATGACCACCATCCGCTTGACACCAGAAAACATGTGCTTTTAGGCAGAGAATACAGTTTCTCACACTTTCTTTTTTTTTAATTTTTTTTTACATTTGTTTATTTTTGAGAGACAGAGAGAGAGCGCGCGCACACACACACACACACACACACACACACACACACACACACACGCACAAGTGGGGGAGGGGCAGAGAGGGAGACGGAGACACAGAATTGAAAGCAGGCTCCAGGCTCTGAGCTGTCAGCACAGAGCCCGACACGGGGCTCAAACTCACAAACCGTGAGATCATGACCTGGGCCGACGTCAGATGCTTCACCAACTGAACCACCCAGGCGCCCCTCTCACACTTTCTTACTAGTGATTCATTATAACCTCAAAATTCAACACTATACAACATAGAACAATATAACCTGAGCCTGAAAATGTTTCAGATCCATTTAATCCAAATGTCGCCTCCCTTCAAAGGAGTAAAGGAACAACAGTGAGTCTTTGCTATGACTTTGTGTTTTCAGCATAGCATGCCACTGGGCCAACCAAAATATTTTACCTGCAAAATTGCTAAATAAATTTATTTGTTGACTAAAACGGTCTGAGTTTAAAACATAAAATATGCCCTCAGAGAATATTAATCTTGGGGAATTTCCTTAAAGTAACTATGCAGTTTTACCTACCCAATATTCTTCATACATTCAATTTCTTTTTGTTCCTATACCATCAAAGTGTGGTAGAAATTTTGATTCAAGTAGCTCTAATTTGGTACAAAAGCATGATGTGAGTTTATATTCATTTTTAAATTTCAAAATCATTATCCAAGAACTATCCAAGTAGTTCTCTGAATTGTTTACTACATTATTAAAAAAAAAAAAAGGCTTAAAAGTACAGCATTAAGATGCTGCCTGCTTTATATAATTTAAAATTACATCTTATGAGACAATTTCTGCCTGTTTTGATTATAGCAGCACTACTTAGGGACATGTTTAGAAATACATATATATCATATATACGATTAATATATAATAAAATATATAGAAATGTTTAAGTTCTACAATATGACACATTGAAATGTAACATTGAAATTTTGAAGTTCTACAATATGACACACAGATGACTTTTGTCTGTCTTATCAATTGCTCTTTAAGTGAACTTCTGTGATCACCATAACTGTGTTTAAATGTAAATCATTTTTTATACAATCATTTTTTATTTTGAGAAACCCCAGCTATGCAATTTAGGCTATTGAGAGAAAAAGTAGCATATATTCCTAAACAATACTTAATAAAGTGATTGATCTATCCATCTGAGATAATAAAATATCTTACTTTTATAAGTGAGATTGACCATAATTTATATGAATTATGAAGAAATTAATTTGAACCAATGGTGTAGCAAGGGAAAGAGATCAGTGCTTGTGTTAGCTTGGGTGGTGTCATGACAAAATACCATAAATTGGGTGATTTAAACTACAGAAATTTATTTTCTTACAGTTTTGAAAGCTGAAGTCCAACATCAAGGTGTCAGCCTGGTCAGGGTCTGGTGTGATCTCTCTTGCTGGTTTACAGAAGGTTTCCTTCTTGCTGGATCCCTACATAGCCTTTCCTCAGTGCATTCAATTTTTCTTAAGGTGGAAACTGTGTAGAGAAAAGACCTTGATAAGACTCTGGTGTAGAAGATGAATACTGAGCATAAAGATATTATCAGGGGCCCAAGCAATGTGAGGGAACACTACTTACTGCTTGAGAACAGGTGCAAATCTGTTTACCTCCAAAAAGAGGAAAAACAGAAGAGGGAATGGCAGGTATGGCTGGAGACTATGGGGAGGAGGGGTTTCAGAGAAAATTTCCACGAGTTAGGAGAATGACTATACTCCACAGAATAATGTGTGTGCCATCCATTCAACCCCTGAGATATAGATATAGATATCCATTCCTCTACACCTTTGAATCTGGATTGACCAGAAGTTCTCTGATGGATAGACTGTGGCAAAAGTGACATGACAACAGATCTAGACTTAGATATTAAGGAGGATCAGCAGATTCTATAGGGTTCTATTGGAGTCTTCTCTCTTGGAAAACTCCCTCTCAGAACCTAGTCACCATTGCTGTGGAAAGCCCAAGCTACATGACGGTTACTTGTAGATGTTCCAGTTGAGAGCCCCAGCTAAGCTCCCACCCAACAGCCAGCATTAACTGCCTGTCATGTGAGTGAGCCACCTTGGATGTCCAGTGTACATGAGACTTCAGAGAATTGCACCTTAGCCAACTCTACTTGCAACCACATGCAAGACCTTCCTAGCTGACCCCAGTCAACTCACAGAACTGAGAAATAATAATAAATCTTGTCAGCCACTAAGTTTTGAGGTAGTCAGTAGGAACAGATGTTTAGTGTTCACTTTGAGGTTGTTTATATTGTGTGTGTGTGTGTGTTTGGCATGAGGAGGATGGTTAGTGGAAATATGGAAATTGCGGGAGGGCCTGAATTTCACATGCAAGATAAAGAGCAACATAAAAATACAATGGAAACAGTAGTGGTAACCATGAAGAAACAAACTCACTGGGGAATTTTCTGAAAACATGTAGAGTTATTTAACTGCTGCATGATGTGGTACTGGGGGCCTCAGCCATTCTTAAATAGCATGGAGACATCAGCTGATGTAAGATTTATCCATTTCTTTAGATGAGGGACAATCTAAGTTAAATTCATCTATCTACAATTCTCTCTTACTCACCTACATATATTCAGGGCCTAAAACCATGCCTAGCACATGATAGGCGCTGGTAAAGTTAATTGGTTGTTTGGCACAGAATGAAGAAAGAAGATAACACAAATGACTTCATTCCTCAGATCTCAATAAACTGACAATAAAAATTTGAGGTACTCCCACTCAATCTTTTCCTTCATATCCCCAAACATCCCTATTACAAGAATGAAATTATACAATAGATAACAGTAAGTATCAGTGAGAAATGTGATTTACTAACAATCTGTTGGTAAAGATTATAGAGACTGATGATTAGATAGTCAGTATATTGGCACCACAGTTCAAAGTTACACCTATATCTATTTTCTTCTATGTTTATTAATGAAATTGCCATTTGTCCTCAAATAATGCAGTGACAAAGTAATTTCAGAGGGTGTTTTAATATTTGGTTGAAATGAATACCCTACAGAGATAGTATATTCAGATTAATTTTAGATTAGGAATTAACAGAAGCATACTGATATCCAAATTTCCCAGAATTAGCCAAATTGAAGCTAATCGTTATTTCTTTGGATATGCACACATTCACATATGCACATTATTTGTCCATTTCTCTTTACAAAATAGATTTGAGACATTGACAACATCACTTCATCAATAATAAAATATAGAACAACAAAATTAGGGGGAACCAAACAAACTACCCATCAAATAATGAACAAACATTGGGCCTTAACCTCAAATTTATCTCACAGTTTCCTAACCTAACAGTCAAGAGAAGATGATATAGATATCATTATCAGAAAGGAGCTTGACGATTTACTCAAAGTCTCTCAAATTGATTCCAAATAGTTAAGAGATTGTTGCATAATGTATTTGATGCAATGTATATATTATGGATTTGTGAGAAGGTGAATCAATACTGAAATGAATAGGTTCACAGTGAATGGTTCATTCGACACAGAGGTTTTAGTGTTGGCTGAAGATAAATAGACATGAGATAATGCTCTCCATATAGCAAATATGAGTTAGCAAAACATGTGGTACAGAGGTATGTGTGAGGAATATTGGTATGCTGGGGAGTCTAACGGCATATAACAAAAGGGTCTGTACTCAATTCTGTTCTGATGAACAAGTTTTGTTAAGGATATTGATAATCTGATTATTACATTTGAAAAACATATATAACCAGAATATCAGCTACTATGTTAGATAAAATAATCTGGAGTAACAAGAAAAAATATTTTAGCATATTGAGCTAATGGGCTATTTTTGTTTGAGGGACTTACCAATGGCCGTGTAAGTGTCCTCTGCTCAAATGCAGAGGCCAAAAGAAGGATAAGGGGAGTTGGGATCCACATGGGACCACCTGCCCCTCTGCCCAACGTAAAGTAAGAGTTCATTGGGCCCCAAGAATGTATCTGAGTCAACTAACACAGCCACGTGCAGTCAAAAAGAAGAAAGAAAAGATGTAGAGGAAGATGTAGAGGAGGAGTCTACATGGATGAAGAAAATGGTTTAAAAGAGAAGGTAAAATCTGGGTTTGTGCTTTTTAAAGCACAGAGACTGTATCCATTAATAACCACAAACTAAATAATGTCTTAGTGATGAACAAAAAGAATGAAAATTACGCCCTCCAACGAGAGAAGACCTGAAGAGGGTGATCAGAGGTGGGTCTAGAGGAGGGAAAAGTGCATTCCTCTTCCTATAGTATCTCTTACTTTTCTCTCTTATCTTAGCTCCCTGACATGGTAAATAAGTCTATGATTTTAAAAAATATATAGCTAATCATTTCCAAGAAGGAGCCCATGAGTGTGTCTGGGGACACGCCAGATCCTACTTACTGAAGCCATTTCTTAACATCTACAGTTCTCTTCTGTCCCCCTGAGGATGGTAAAATGGGTAGACTGGTGATGGATCAAATGTCAAAAGAAAAAAAAAATTAAGTATTAACATAAATCCAAGACAGAATGAACAGGGCACTGAAAGGTCACCAGCACATTTTACCTGAACAATGATTGAAGGAACTGAAGATGTTAAGCTTATGGGAAAGAGCGTACACAGAGACCAAAAACTCCTACAATATTTGGTAAATTGTCAAATAAAAGTCAGATTAGATGTGTTTTATAACGTCCCAGAGTGTTAAACTAGATCTTCCAGGCAAAGGTTATAATAAAATACATTTTGACTTTTTAATGTAACAGTTTTGTTGTGATTTCATCATTCACTCATAAGATGCGCCACACTGTCAGGCATTATAGGAACTGCTGGGACACAACAATGCCCAAGACAAAATTCCTGCCTTAATGGCACATTCTGATGGGAGAAACAAACACATTTATAAACAAATGAAGAAATAATAGGTAGTTACTATTGTTATAAAGAATGTGATCAGGGAGATGTGTGAACCTGTAATGAAAGAAGTCTGTCTTCATTAGGAAGGCCAGGGAAGTTTTCACCAAAAAAAGGATAGAATCAGCCAGCCACGTGAAGAGCTGAGGGAAGACTGAACAGTAACGACAAAGGGCCCAAAGCATAAATAGCTTGGCTTGTCCGAGGCACAGAGAGAGGAGGCCCAGGAGGCCCATGTAGCTCACATGGAATATGTTGCGTGAGAATGTGTACAAGATAAAGTCAGAGAGGAAGGCAAGAGCCAGATCCTGCAGAGCCCGGTGGTCTATGATGAGGAGTTTGGATTTTATCCCAAGAGTATTGGGATGGCTCTGATGAGCTTCAAGCAGAGGAATGAAATAATTGGAATGTGTAATAGGAAAAGAATAACAGAGGGCCAGCAGGAGAACTGGAGAAAATAAATAACTGTAAATGATTTTCCTGTCTAGACATAAGAGGAAAAGAATGAATGAAGATAACAGAGTCAGTAGGAAACAGTAGACAAGTATGGCAGCCATCCGCGAATATAATTGAACTAATTCCCATCTGTGGAATTAACAGTTTTGTGATATGGAGACAAAAGAAAGAACCAGGGAAAGCAATTGATAACTGCAGGGCACATGAACAGGGATCAAGAAAAAGGAAATTTTCAGGGACAAATAAGAAAATATTTTCATTCAGGTCTATCGCTGAGGTATACTGGTGTGAGAGGCTCAGCTCTGGGGAAAGAATAAACTAACTAGTGTTCATCCCAAAGAAGGAACAGCCAACACAGACTGGGAAAGGATAGTTGTCCATATGTTTAGCAATGCCCTGGAAACATTGGGAACCTGAGCAGTGAACTAGAATATCCCAATGGTTTATATGTCCAGAAAAGAAACAAAATATTAAATGTTGTTGCCTCGAGGCCAAGTTGACTGTAGGAGGTGGGAGTGGTATGTTATAGACTTAATGTTTGTGTTTCACCCAAATCCACATGTTAAAACCCTAACTCCCAAAGTGATAGCATTTTGAGATGGGGACTTCAGGAGGGAATTAAGGTTAAATAATGTCATGGGGGTAGGGCCCTCATGGTGGGGTTAGTGCCCTTATAAGAAGAGACACCAGAGAGCTTGCTCACTTGCTCTCTCCCTCCAGGTTCACACTAAGAAGCCATGTGAGTCATGTGAGAAGGCAGCATCTGCAACCCAAGGGCAGAGCCCTCACCAGAAACCAATCCCACCAACCATGTGAGGAAATAAATTTATGCAGTTTAAACCACTCAGTTTATGGTATTTTGTTAATGCCACTCAAGCAGATTAGTAGAGGGTATTTGTTCCAGAACAAGAATTGCAATACATTAAAACCTGCCTTTGGGGGCACCTGGGTGGCTGTTGGTTAAGTGTCCAACTTCGGCTCAGGTCATGATCTCACAGTTCATTGAGTTTGAGCCCAGCGTCAGGCTCTGTGCTGACAGCTCGGAGTCTGGAGCCTGCTTCGGATAATGTGTCTCCATCTCTCTCTGCCCCTTCCCACTTGTGCTGTCTCTCTCGCTCTGTC